GAGTAATTTTTATTTTTTAACAAGAAAGCTTATTAAACCTGCTAGATGCAAATGGTGCTCAAAAGGACAGAACGAAGTTCACCCTCATTTCTTCTAGATAATTTTCTTACTATTGTGAAAGTAACTGCCTTTAGAGTGGTATATTTAAATCTGCACGAGAATATTCATGTGTTACAAATTGTCAAATAGTAAATCACAATTCATTTAATACTCACCCGGCATTATAGAACATATAGGAAGGTTCTCTCTCTGGCTCTGAACTAAGGTCTGCTAAATTCTCCATCGACTCATACTGCAAAGATCAAGAAAAACCACGAAAATGATTTCCTAATTCACCTTCTTTTTGAAAATTTTAAACAACAGAACTACTTACGTATCGCTTTTTTCTTAATTTAGCAGCTTCTTGAGGATGGTTGAACCGCAACATGTTCGTTTTCCCAAGTAAAATCACATCTCCTGCGTTAACAGAGACAGACATTATCAATAAAACAATAAAACAATAGTAATAACAACAACAACCACCAAAATAATCACCCGTGGACCCTCAGAATGGTTAGCATCTAATTTACCTTCACAATATCACACCCGAGTCATACATTACGGTCACGAGTATGACGGAAAAGATCAACAGCTAAATAAGCCCTTGATTGTTAAACAAATTCTCCTTGTCAGCACTTTAGGAAACGTGTTGAGAACAGTGCTGGGAATATACAAACTAATGTTAGGATGTAAAAGATTAGTGCAAGTTGAGGAGGTGTAGGGTACACATACCCTGACTAATCCGTTGTGACTTGCCCACAGGAAGCCCATTCACTTGGCACAGGGAGGCGAGTGGATGAAGAATAACTGTGCCTTCAATACTCTCCATGATACAATGTTCAGCTTCAATACCAGGTCCTGATAACACTGATGGACGTATCAAGGAAAATTTTATTATCAATATCTGTCAAAAGGCTTATTGTCAAGGCTGCTTGATTTTCAAAACGTGTTTTCCTTTATATGATCAAGTACTAACTTCTAAAATCCAGAAAAAAAAAAACTAACTTTTAAGATGAAAAGTGAGGATAGTCGTTCGAGAACTGCGACTCGAGTTCATATGGCTGGTGAATGACTATCAAAGATGTCTGTGCGTAATAGAAAAGCAAATTCCCCTATCTTGTCTTTCACGAATTTCCTTTCAGGTCAAACAGTTGGGATCACCTTCCCGATATGCTTTGATTCCCTTGCTTTTATCTCACCAGCTTTCTTACTAAGCATTAATGACGAGCTTTAAGGATGAAAACAAACTCTAGCTATAGCAATTTTCTCTTTTCATTCACATGCTACCAAGTTACTTAGGTAACGAGCAGTATGAAGCGGCCAAGGCTTTCCCATCCCGTAAGAGGACTGGGAAGGAGACAGAGTCCACTGCCAAATTCGCCGCTCCCCGGGTATCCGAAAACCACCAGCTACGCAGGCTGACTGATTAAAATTCAGACCAACCTATATCAGGATTAAAATTTGCATCCTCTCTTCCGATGTAAGTCATCCCATCCTATGAATCAAAGAAAAAGAAAACCCACTGATTAGCTGACACAAAGAACAAGACAACACAATGCTGGCAGGCTATCTTGCTTCTTCATGTTTCTGCATCTCCTTGCTAAATGTATGAGTTCCACAAGCTAACGTTTGAATTAAACTCTGAGATCTCCTTTTACTGTTAAAAGAGCAAATTACATCCTGTTGCCTTGGAGGGCGGCAGGAATTGAGCTGTTTTCAATCAACTCTCGAATGAAGCCCGAGATTAGGTTCTGTTTTGCTTTAATTCGCGCCGTAATAACACTTAAAAACCCACGGG